AGCTCAATCTCATGACTTCTCAAAGAACTCACCATTTCTTCTATAGAAGTGTTGTTCAAATCTTTAGCCAATTTAATAGAAATTACCATCCCATCTTGTTGGTAGGCTTCTGATAATATTCTTCACATGATTTAAAGTAGAGTATCCTTTGTTCAAAACCTTAAGTCCTGCAACCAGAATTTGAAACCTTGAGGAGATAGTCTCAACCGTTTCATCTTCTTCCATTTTTAAGGCTTCATATTTTTGACTTAAAGCCAGAGCTTTAGTATCCTTAACTTGAGTGTTGCCTTAATGAGTCATTCTTAAAGAATCAAATATAGATTTAGCTGAGTCAACATTTGTTATCTTCTCATACTCGGTATAAGAAATCGCATTCAGTAAGATGGTTCTTGCTTTACAGTGATTCTTATAGTCTTTGTTTTGTTTTTCATTCATAGCTCTTCTTCAAGCTTATTTCCACTAGCGTTTGTAGGATGTTCGTAGCCATCAACTACCAAATCCCAAAGATCAACATCATGACCTAGAAAGAAACTTTCTAGTCTATCTTTCCAATAATCAAATCTTTCACCATAAAAATGGGAGGTTTATCATTGTAGTTGTCTTTATCATTTGGAACTTGAACGATTTTCGGTGGTGCAATAGCCATAGTGTTTCTAACCGTTTGGATTTTAATCTGATACGATTAAGTGTTTGATAACTATTAATACAAAAATCGGAGCTCTGATGCCAATTAAAGGTGCAAGAAACACAATAAACAGGGTTTGAAATGAGTTTCTTAAAAATAAAACTTCTCAAAACTCAAACACCTAACAGATGAATAAAAATAAATGAACACAATAATTTTTATCCTGGTTCACTGCTAAAAAATTTAATCCATTTCTCCCACCATGGTGATTTCACCTTCTCCACAAGGACTTAATCCACTATAACCAAACTGATTACAGAACCACAACAAGACTAATTGTCACTATTTCAAACCATAAAGACCAACTATCAATGTCTTCTTCAGAATCCTGACTAAAACTCTAGTCTCTCAAGGAACAAAACCTCAAACATAAACTGTCAATGACTTCTTAATTATACAAACTAACACTTAGTCACTCAAGGAACTATCAACTCACTGTTGAATACATGTTTGTGTGTTTATAAGATTGCTTATCAAAAGCATATTACACAAGATAGAAGTACAAATAATAACACAAAAGTGTTAAGCAAGTTAACAAACAAAAGTTCCTTGCTAGCAAGTTAAGGAGCAACAACTCCTTGCTTTACAAAAATTATAGAGTTATTTTGGCAGCGTTTCAACAACTTGAATAAATGTTTCTTAAAAGTTCATCTACTTTCTAATTCTTCCAAGTATTCCTTTTATATATGAAAATAAATCCATTGGAGGGTAGAATAGAAATACCAAAGTTCCAAACATCTTCTTGCAACAATCAGTGAGAGAGTGATAGACAACCTCATACAATAGTACTGTCTTTGCACCACAAAACATCATAGTGGAGGCGAGGTGATGTTTTACCTTGTATTATTACTCATGTGAACCATTTTGATCTCTCTTATAGTATTCAGAGGCTTCTGGATGCATAATGGTTGAAGCATGTGTAGAAGGATCATAACTAAGTCTCCAGAACCATGTCACCAGAGTCTTTAGAACTTGTTCAAACTAAACCTTGTCTTAAGAGTCTTCAACACTTGGTCTTTAGAGTCTTCACAACCTTTTCATCAGAGTCTTCAAAACTTAGTTCAATGGAACCTTGTCTTCAGAGTCTTCAAAAGTTGGTCTAGAGAACCATTGATCTTCAGAATCTTCAGAACTCGTTCAACAGAACCTTGTCTTTAGAATCTTCAGAACTTGGGCAAGAGAATATGGAATCTTCAGAGCTTGAAAACATATCAAAATCTCTTAAAACAGAGTCACGGTCAGAAGCTTTAAAACTAACGTTCTATCAGAACCGTTGTTTTAGACGCCTTCTAAGCTATGAAACACAAACTTGTACTCTTAAGTGTGTTGAGTCCAAAATTTGATGACATCACACATCAATACCTCAAAGTCAGAATTTGATAGCAAAAGCTACACACTTAACAAACCATTGGGGTACTAAATTGTTATCTAATCACCCATGTAATGTTATCATTAAAACTCAAGGCCAGATGCAGAACCAAATCTTGTTCTTACAGCATCGGCATGGACAAACCCGTTGTTATCGATCCAGTAGTGATGGATGTCCTAACAGGGGACAAAACCGATGTGTTTTGAGTCGTTGTACAAACTGTTATAACATCAACATTATGAGCTTTGCTTTGTGTAGGATTAGAAGTGTTAGTGTATGCGCTAGAACGTGACATTTTAGACAGTTATTTCTCACTTCTCAAGTTTATGCATAAACAAACATCGGTGTTATGTTATGCAAAACAATCCATACACGGCTGGAAATAACAATGAATTTAACAAAATATTTGAAAAATATTAGCATACATCCCACCAGACGTGCCAATTTGTTTACTCTGGAATTTGGTAAACACCACTAGTATCTTATTAAAGGTTACTTTGCAAGATCGACTATTGAATCTCAGAACAACATGCTTGAAAATTTTCAAATATAGTAACAATGGTAAGCATTTTAGTGATTTCGACAGCAATCAAGAGCACATTTTGAAATTTAGAGCAAGTAAAGGTAAATGTTTGGCTGGAAATATAAAGATTACGGCCGTAAAACGAAAAGGTAAGTAAATAGAAACTGAATGTAAAAATTTACATTAATGGAAACTTTGTGATCAAACATACATTTCACTCCTTGAACTTATTTCGCTCTCCCTGCTGGGTACTCTGAGTTTTTGCGTGAGTTTGATAGTAAATTTGAACACCTCTAAATCTAACAATGAAACTACTATTTATTTATTTTTTGTAAGCAAGAATTATATATAAAGAGTACTAAGAATACTCTTTCTCGATTACAAAATCTGTCAGAATAACTCCGGATGGAAAGGAGAGATTACTAACCAACTAAACCTTAAGCTAAATAATGCAAATAATCTTTGTAAAATTCATAAAAGTTACATTTGATATTAGTAATTTCACCTATGAAAAAACACTTCCAAGCCAAAGTTTTAATATTCCAAACTAAATCAGAAACGATACACGGTTCGTTCTTAAAAAGCACGTCGTTCCTCATAATTCAAATACTCCAACAAACCACTAACAATAAGCTACCTTCCGTACCACCTTTAACTTTCTTCTTCTTAAAAAAGCAGACCAAAACAAAAAGTTGTTCCAAATACTAACAACCTAAGACTCCTTTATCCCTATCCAAACCAACACTTCACGCTAAACCGTCGAAGAAATAGCACAATGAAATCGAAGATGTAATAATGATTACTCCTCTGAGGAATAAAGCACACATAAAATATCAGATGGAGAATAAAAAATACCTATGCGGAAAAGTTGGTCCTTCGAAGGTAATCTGTTCAAGAAACATCTCCAACCGAAAGTATTGATTATGTACGGTACCAAAGCTTTCCAAAGCGCTTTGAAGGCCTTCAAACAACCTGCTGCAGGGTGTGCAGAATTCTAGGCAGAACACAGTAGATAGTATCCTACTATTTATAATACAATATAAATAACTGCTTAAATGGCGAGCTTTTCTCAAGCGAGCGCCACGTTTTCATCGCATGTCTCTTCATTTTATTAACTGCTCCTACACGTCTCCATGTTGAGGATAAGGTTAAAAAACGGTTACTACACCACATTCACTTGTTTCAACATCATTGATCATCGTAACTGCAATGGTTGAACCATCCGCATCTGTTGCAGAAAAACCTAAGTCCACAACTTCCTTTGCACCGAAATTCGACCTACAATTTACCTAACTTGTGTCAGACGATTATCTACATAAGCATCAACCATGCTTTCGCTCCTGAGTCAAAACTTCGTCCAAAGGTCTTTGCATCCTCCTCTTGTTTTAGTTGAATTTTGAAGTCCTATCGAAAATCTCAGGTAACACCTTTGTAACCATCAATTCTGATTCTGCAATGGAATAAAAAGAATCATTAAAACATTGTGTATCCTACAAATAGAGGGGAGTGTATCCTACAAATAGAGGAGAAAGTTACATAAATAGTTGAATGAGACTACGTATTATGCATGACTAATAGGATGGTGTCTTTTATAAACACTACATTATGTTAATTTCAAATATCATTCAAAATCAATCCATCAATCAAGCTATTTATGCATTTTAGTGTTTTTATATTTACTTTTATTTTTAGGAATTTTTAAGGCTAATAGTTTAACTTGCTACGTTTGTATTTAATATATTTTTGAGTAGTTAAAAAATTTATAATGTAAAGAACAAATTCCTCTTAATGTAATCACTTGGGGAAAAAAATCACTCCTGAAAATTATTAGCTTTTATTCAACTAATTTTCATATTTTGAAAACAAAAGCTAACAGATTTTTTATTAAAGTACTTTTTAAAAATCGAACCAAATCGTTAATAATTTAATATATTTAATTTCAATTCATTATAAGAATCATGAATACCCTTCTTACACTTCTTACATGTGAAAACATTGTGATATAATGCAACTTTCACTGAGAAAACTTGTTAACATAAACATATAATATGTCGAATAGACCATACGATCCTTTAGATTATAGAGTCTTTTAAATTAGGTATGTGTAATAAAATAGTCTTTTTTTTAGTCCTTAGTAGTTAGTATCTACCAAATGCATCGAAAACAATATTAGCATAAAAATCAACATTAATTGTAGAAGATTGCAAACTAAATAATCTCAGCAGTTGAATAACAAGAAAATAGAAACTCTATGTTTTTACTCTTAGAATTTTCCTGAATCATCTTTATCCAATAAATTTTAACCATAACATGGACGGTGAATAAATGAAATGTTGCCGGTTCGAAACTCGAAACTATCAACTGAGTTGTTTTAACCGAGATAAAATAACACAATTTTTTAACAGAATTCACAAAACACAATTTCACACTAAATCAGAAGCATCCGGAAGACCCTGCGTCATATCATAATTTCTCGTCGGAATCGCCGCCGCCGACGAACACCGCCGTTTACCGGAAACCGTAGCTCGGCAAATCGGACAAGTAACCCGATTCCTAAGCCACAAATCAATACAATCAGCATGAAAATAATGCTTACAACAACTCAGCTGCCGGAGTTTCTCACCGTCAGTAAACACCGACAAGCAAACAGGACACTCGCCGCCGATCTCCTTCATATGAACCTCCGTACTGTACTTCAGATCGAATATTGAAGCAGCGTCAGCTTTGGGGTTGTCATCGGAGGAAACAGAGAGTTCTGGGGTGTTTTGGTCTGTTCTCCGGCGACAAAGCGGGAACCCGAAGGCGAATATGCAGGTATAGATCAAGGCTGGTATGGTTACAATAGCGATGAGAGCGAGGAGGAATTCGAGAGGAGAGAGATCGACGGAGCGAGGAGGGAAAGGTGGTGGTGGGGTTGTGAGGGTGGTGATTTGAGCGGCGGTTAGTGGCGGGGTTGAGAAAGGTAGAGGTGGGGGATGTGTGGTCGGAGTTGCGTGTTCCATGATGAGATTATATGATTAGTAAGAAGTAAGTGTGGGACTATAATGTGTCATGTGATTATGTTTTTTTCATTGGTGAAAAAAGTGGTTGATAGTGTTTGTTAGTGATAAATGAAAGGGACTGTTATGTTTTGTTTGAGTTGTTTATGTTTTATTAGGATAGGAGTATTTTAGTTCTAATAGTTGATAAGGGAGTGATGGGAGTGAGAACCAATGAAATATGGATTAGGTCTTAATTAAGAGTATAAAATAGAAGAATTAATAAAATAGAGGATTTTTTACTCCATCCCACGCGGAAAAATTAAATCTTACGTAGTTTCTATAATATCTCTTTAAAATCATAAATATATTTTTGATGTACTTTTTTTTGAAAAATTTGACTTAAAATTGAAAGTGTATTTCCAATTTTAAACCGACAATATATTTTCAGTTCTGATATTATTAGTAGTAGAAAAATTAGGCTTGTAAGGAAATATATTTCTCGTTTTTTCGCATCACAAATTAAAATTTGTACAAATCATACACATCACAAATGGAACAAAAGAGTCGTACACAACCCCAAAATATAATCCAAGTACAAATATGATACAATACAATACCAAAAAATTAAAACCAAAATACAAATGTATCAGCATAAACTACTGAGTATGATAAATGATGAGTCAGTCTGTCACCCTCGGGACATCCCTTCGCTGCCTCCTATAACATAGAGTCTCTCGAGCCTCCGCCATGTTAGCATCCAAAACACCTCTAATATCAGATCCATCAGAAAACAGTCCTCTGTCAATACCATCCCACGTAAGCTACATGATACGACGGCACCTAGGAAATACGTCATGAGCATGATCCCTCATAGCCTGTTCTTCCTCTAGAATCTCCTAATGAACTGATCTCAGTGGGTTCTCTGAAGCATCCTCTACCATGTACGGATGGGACACCTTGAAGAACCATATTATGTATCCGTACTCGTAACTCCATTTGCCTGGTGCTACGATACTCCTGGACTCATCAGGAACAAGATGATTCTCAAAATCATCAAACATAGCATCCATATCCATCAGTTTCACAGTCGAAGGAACACATACAACAGGATCCTAGGGAATGGTCTGGGTAAATTCGAACTGACGCATCACCCATTCAGGCATATAAGCAGCAGTCTTGCGAGTCAACCAACCTGTAAACAGCGCAACCTCGTTAAATGGTATCGTGACACGGTGGTGGGCGTATGAATTGAAGTGAATGTCCTCATGCACCAGCTTGTCAATATAAACCCGAAACGGCTCTATTGCCTGGTTCCCTCGGAGCGGATCATATGCACAGACACGCGACTTATCTTCAGTATAACTCGTAACATATGACCAACCCGATATGCGAGGGAAGTGTTGTAGGATCCATCCCTGAAATAACAAAATTAAATAGTTAGTTCCAAAATTAAAATAATTAACAAAGGCCACAAAGATAAAAATTTATACCGTCATGAGTGACATGCTATCGGTCATCTGCTTCGTATCCCAATTAATGGCGTCATCCAAATTGGTATACAAGTAAACCAAGCAAACATCCCCCAGTTCCATTGGTCGGTCGTCTCAAAATCATCAAAGTACCACAGGTACATAATATCGGTGTAAGTGGCACTGGTGTCCATAAAAATCTGTGTGCCAACAAGATATAAAAGGTATGCTCTCATGGCAAACCCCATGTAAATGGTGACCTGCTCGAGATCACCATGAGCCTCTCGTGCACACCTAATCTCATCCGCGAACACCCTAGCCAAATAGCTATACATGACGTGGCAACCACATATCTTATCAATCTCTCCCCGACTACTCTCAGTGGTAACTCCCAGCTTCTGAACCAACAAATCCAATGCCTCCTCTTTCCTAATCCTATCATGATCCAAGAAAGTCCCTCTGATCGGCATATGAAGCAGACACATGACGTCATCGAGTGTGATCGTCATCTCACCATGTGGTAGATGAAATAACGATGTCTCATGGTACCACCTCTCAATAAAAGCGTTGATCATACCCCAATTGACCATGTTGTATCCACATAGGGCAAAATATTTCAACCCTGTAAGTCGTAAAAGCTCGTCAAACTATGTCTCAGTAGGTTGTGTTGCACCCCAAAATTTTCCCTCCTAATTTCTTTTATTTTGGCTTAGACTTTTGCATTCATCTGCATCTATTTCATTAGGTCACTAACATGACATATATTTCATTCAATATAGCTCTGAGGATTCAAAGTCCAGTGGTTGTGCGATACTAGGGTTTCCCAGTGGTTAAGGTGCTCGTATCCAATAAGGGATGATTTCTTATTCAGGCAGCAAGCTGTGGAATTAGGGTTTTGGTTCATTCTCATTTTTGGATTTCTTCTCCATCAAGCTACAAGGCTATTATCTTCTGTTGAACAATAGGTTGCAGGGTATTCCTGTCAATAATGTAATGTTGTGATCTCGCGTACATGATTCAAAACACCTCATTCTATCATTGTGCTTATCATTTGGTCAAGGTTTTGTCAATACTAGAGGGGTATTAAGATTTCTCTAAAGGATCAAGATTTATTATCAATCCAGGATGCATATGATGCTTGCATTACAGGTTGTTGACTATGTCATTGTTGCATTAAGTTCATCTATCCTTAAGTTAATCAATCAGGATTGGGGACGTCATGATTCAAAATATTTTGTATGGTAAATTTGGTTGCTTGACAGTCAAGGCATTACGAATAATTGGTGCAAGCTATTGTTTGGATATTTGTACAAGAACTTTGGTTTCAAACATGGATTAAGGTTCAACTTGATTAAAAAAAGGAAATAGCATGCCCGAAGGTTTATTTCATAAATTCTTGCGGAGGAAGATGGCACATGAATATAAGTTGAGATTAAAGTACATGGTATCAAGTAAATCTCTTCATGATTCAAGTTGTTATTTTCAAGATTATCCCACATTATTGTTCATCCCAAGGTAAAATATAAAAAGATTCATTTAAATAACATTCGAGTGTTTATCATGTTTGTCTCAAGTTCATTCAAGTATCCATTCAAGCTCAAACTGAATGAGAGAAATGTTTTGAATAATTGGAAATTTGTCATGCAAGAAGTTATAAAGTTTTGTTCATTACAAATTCAAGTCATTACACCGAAGTTACAAAAGACATCTCAGTCATCAAAGTTTCGCATTCCAAGTACAAATCATCATCATTTTTACAAATATGTCATCATTTAAGGTTAAAAGTCAAGGGTCTCCATTCATGCGAGTTTGAGGTGCGAGGTGTTTAAAATTGGAAGTTCAAACATCGAAATTTGAGTTTTAAGATCCAAAGCATGGTGTACAAGTTTGTTTGAACCAAAGCTCTTATAGGAATATGGCATACAAGGGAAATTTTGATTCAAGTTCTTGTGAAAACACATAAGACACTCATCATGGAGTACCATGGATTAAATTTGAGGTCGGATGGATAGAATCCTTAATTTGACTAAAAAGTGATCAAGGCCTCCATTTACCGAGAGCTAAGAAATTTAAAGAATGTTTAGAAGTGTCATAATTCAAGAGGATTCATCTTGCAAAAAACTCATAAATAATAGACATGGAATGTTGAATTGTAGCAAGTTTCAGCATATTCAAGTTCTACCAGTTACATCTCATTCAAGCCTCTGCTTTGACTACATAATTCTCAAAACATACAAAAGGCCACAAATTTACAAAAGAAATCAAATTTCTATTACAAGTCGGAACTATTCCCATCCATGGTCATTCAAATTATTCAAAATCACTCAAGTTCAATCATTCGAGCGTCTTTCATTCACTCATATTACAGTATATGTCATTTCGAGATTTCAAAACAAAGTTACAAAGGTCCAAATAAACTTTTACAAAAAAAAAGAAAAAGGGAAAAACATGGGAGAAACTTCAACTTGCTGCAAGGGTTATTGTTACAATTGAGAATCCTCAGGATATTATTGTTCAATCTGCTAGACCTTATGGACAGAGAGTTGTTCTCAAGTTTGCTCAGTATACTGGTGCTCATGCTATCGCTGGAAGACACATTCCTGGAATTCTTACTAATCAACTTCAAACTTCATTCAGCGAGCCGCGTCTTCTCATCCTCACTGACCCAAGAACTGATCACCAGCCAATTAAAGAAGCAGCTCTTGGGAATATTCCCACAATTGCTTTCTGTGACACTGATTCTCCTATGCGATATGTTGACATTGGAATTCCTGCCAACAACAAAGAGATAGGTAATTTAAGAAAGGAATCCTAACATAAGAGTGAGAAGGTTAACACCTTTGCCTTCATATCAAGCCTCTTTTGGCGCCATTTGCATTAAGGAATCTCGAATCTTCAATCTACAAAGGTATTGATCCGGCTTCTATGGTAGACAAAGCTCATTCTCATGAGGAAACTCCTAGCCCGTCCACAGTTCAGCCCTGCATAGAAAGATTAAAAGGCAAAAATCAATAAACAGTTAACAGTTCAGTTCTAAGAAATTGTAACAAAGCAAGCATTGCTGTTCATTATATTGCTTCAGTACGTTCCTAGATTTCTTCTAATGGTACCATTAACTTCAGAACTTAAGAGAACAGCTGGTGTCTTTGCTGAAACTGCATGGGCAGTGATAATGAGTGCAACAAAAGATGAAGCTCTGAGAGCCAAAGAAATTACTGAGAATAGATTGCAGACTGGTGATTTTGCAGTGGCACTGAAGTTTGCTATAAAAGCTCGGCGACTGTTTCCTGATACCCAGAACATTACTCAGATCATTACTATTTGTGAGGTTCACTATGCTTCTCAGAACAAACTCTCTACATCTGATATGAACTGGTATGGAACTCTTCTAACTGATAAATTTTCTAAAAGAAGCAATGATAAAGAGACAGTATAGAAAACTTGCACCGCTACTTCAGCCTGATAAAAATAAATCTGCTGGAGCAGAGGCCGCTTTCAAGTTGATTGTGGAAGCTAACAGAATATTGAGTGACCCAGCAAAGCGTTCTTTAT